GGTGCAAAGATCAATGCTAGGCTTTCGCCTCAGGCGAACTTTTGTGGAGAGACGCCACTTCACTGTGCTGTCAGATGCGGTTCTATTGAGATGGTGCAAATGTTGATCGATCGCGGAGCTGATATCAACGCACAATGTTCCCCACAGCCGAACTGGGCTAGAGAAACTCCTCTACATTTCGCGGTTCGGTTTGAATCACTCGAGAAATTGAATTATCTCGTAAGAAGAGGGGCGGACTTGGAAATACGATCATTGAGAGGACATACGCCAGCACTAACAGCGTGCTACCTTGGCCAAGTTGACTCGTTGCGTGCTCTCAGAGAAGGAGGTGCGAACATGCTATTGTTTAGTTCCAAGACTGAATGGAACGGCCTTCATGCTGCCGCGAGCTACGGCTTCAACGACCTGGTTGAATACTTGCTGGAGATACCGGGATCTCAGATGCTCGTCAACTCAAAGGACTTCGAGGGAGAGACACCGCTACACAGGGCTCTTCTAAACAACCAGTCAGCAACCGCTACATTGCTATTGAGCCATGGGGCTCGGCCAGATGTTAGCAATAACCTCGGGATTACACCCCTGCAGGCAGCGATCTCATCCGAATGCATAGACATCGCCAAACTTCTCCTGAAGATTTACAAAGTTAGCCCAATGCAGTCAAGCTTTCATGGAACGATGCCAATACACGAAGTATCACGTCACGGATGTCTCGAATTATTACCTATGGTCTCTCAAACCACTGAGGAGAATCTCTGGGATGTAAGGGGGTTTTCTCCGTTGCATTACGCGGCCTCATGCAATCGTCCTGAATTCATCCGGGAGCTACTCGCAGTCCTCCCAACACTTAGTGTTTGTGACAGTAACAATCAAGGTATTACTGCTATGCATCTTGCTGGCATGAACGGTATGCTGTTGGCGATAAAGACCTTCAAGGAAATCGATTCCACAAGCTGTCTTCTCAAGGATCACAAATTGAAGTCAGCGCTCCATCACGCAGCGGAACAGGGGCACACCCACTGCCTCGACGAATTATCTCTGCCTGAAATCATAGATGATGTCGATTATCAGGGGTCAACTCCATTGTGGTTAGCAAGTAAAAACGGTCATCGAGAGACTGTCAGTTGTCTGATTGACAAGGGTGCGAACATCAACAAGCCAGACAACGCTGGAGTTTCTCCAGCATTGGCAGCTTTGCTAAATGGTAATACCCATATCGTGGATTTTCTTCTGGATAACGGCGCAGATCCTAGAGCAGCGGACATTGATGGCCCGACCCTCCTTCATAGTGCGGCCAGGATCGGAGACCATGAGCTGGTCAGGCGACTTTTGTTGTGGGACCAGGACGGACAAATGTTGCGCCCAAACAAACAATCTGTTTTCAGAAATGCTTTGTTATCTGGAAGACCTGAAGTTGCTCAGATATTCCTTCAAGCCAAGATGTCAGCAGTGCTGGCACAGACATGGCAAAGGAGGGACTTTTACGCAGCAGCACTACACACAACTCCACAAGTTCTTCGTGAACTGGCATCTCGCTTTCCAGAAGACATAGACTTCATTGATGAGCGAGGATACAACACCATGTCATATGCAGCTGCAAGCGGTCGTAGCGACATTATCAAGGTTCTTCTTGAAGCCGGCGTTTCGATTCACGGATCGATTGACAGCCTCCTCTCTCCCTTAGGAATAGCAGCAGCTTCTGGGTTTCCGGTATTCGTACAAAAGGCGCTAGATGAAGGGGCAGACGTCAATGACAATCGTTCTATTTCGTGGCGTCTGTGGAGACGAAACCCGCTGTGTTTGGCCGTCAAATTTCGCAAACCTTACGCAGCAAGATTACTGTTGGAGAACGGAGCAGATCCGAACACAAGAGATTGGCTTGGTCTTTCAGCACTGGATTATGCCGCCGATCATTTCGCTCTGTTCAACATATTCAGTCGTTGGCTGGTGGAAAATTCTTACTCTCGAGTCGATGAAGCGACAAGATCTCAAAAGGCTCGAGCTGCTGTTGTAAGGCTCCTTCGCTCAAGGCAAGAACTTCTCGAAAGGATCCTTAGAATACCGATCGAAGTTTATTTTAATCACCTGGCAGAAGCTTTGCTGCGAAGCAACAGCGAACTGAGTACTCTCCAAGCACGACTATGCCTCATCCAAGTCGCGACGCTTAGTGAGAGTAATCGCAGGAAGATTTGCGACATTTGCAATCAGCTATGCCTTGCCAAAAGCTACCATTGTACCGTGTGCTACGACATGGATCTATGTTCGACCTGCTACGAAGATTATAACTCTTCTAAGCCATTTGGAAGGATTCCAACGCATGCGAAGGCCTTGAACGAGATCGAAGATGATATCTTCGAAGTTCTAGGTTTACTGGAGGTTTTCAAAAGTCGGGACGTGACAGACTTCACGAGATGTCTGAAATTGATTGGAAAATTAGCAGATGTCTGGGTCAGTGTCAGATGCGCAGCATACTCAAGTTGGGCTCAGCGGGCCAGATCTGCTACCAATTGGGGTCCAAGAAACGTTCCAGGCTGGGCTCTCGTCAAACTCATTGCCAAAATCGCAGAGCAGGGTTGGGTTGATCAGAGCACCGGCTACCTCAAAGCAGATTATCGACACGGAGGACTCAGTTACATTGGTCAGGTACTAAGCCAGATCTATGAGGTATTCGACCCAAGGCAAGAGAGGCGTTTTCTGATCTGCGAGAGCCATGAATACATGGAGATTGTTCCGGTTCAAGCCCTTCCCAAGGAAACGCAACTCGAGTTCAACGCTTCCGGGGTCTTGAATCGAAGTTTCTTCCAGGGCCTGTTAGACCAATACGCATCCTCAGGGCTACCCTGCGGTGCAACATCATCCGGTGGTCTTCCGGAACTTCCTAGGTCTAACCTTGAAGGGAATAAAGATTCAGACGTCTACGACTGCCTACATCCAAAGAGTAAGATACCTGGAAGAAATGAAGACCAGCTTCGTCAAATTGGTGAACGGCTGTCAAGAGAGCTCTGGCAGCTGCAAAGGCGCCATGAGTCTTCGGCAGTCAGTACAGAAGATGATCCAGACCTCGATATGGAAACCTTTCAATATGAATTGTCTTGGAAACTAGCCCACGCGATGTTGGGTGTGCGTTACTCAATACCACTGATTCAGCTTATTGCTAGAAAGGAGGCTCATGGTGGCAAGCAAAGATGGTGAAGGTTCTGTTTCTGAAAATTGGCATAATTGTATCTGTTTGCCACATTCGATATCTGCTCTTGAGATTATAGTAGGGTGGAAAGTGCCATGATGCTTGGTATCACGAACATGCGTCACATGCGTGAAACAATTTACACAGGAAGATGAAAGCTTCTTCTCATGATATCATACGAGAAAACGAGGGCTCGATCGAACACGCCAGTAAGCACTCTAGCCTGCCCCAAAGCAACCTTATTAATTAGCTACCAACTTCTGACTATTTATGTGAGCTTTTTCTTTTCTTAGCCCATAGCTTCTTTTAAAATGTTAAAATGTCGGAAGACATCAAGGTAGCAGCAGCAGCAGACAGGTCGGAATTTGCAATCAAGGTATTGTCTAATAGAACACCAACAGAGTAAGGCCAGCTCATGCTACTTGAGTATCTTTTGTGGTTCCCGATTCCTTCCTAACTACTCTATCTCAATATTCCATTCGTATCATTCAGCACCACGCACATTTACTCAATGTGGGACTTTTTCAACTGTGCGAAACGCGGAACGCGCGGGAGTTTACTTGACAGGTGGAGGCTGCAGACGGACGAACTCTTTTAGTCGGGAAGAAAGCTAGAAACTCGGGCACTTACCCAAAGAGGATTTGACACCGAGTCCAGTGAATTCATCCTATGACGACTCATAAATACGTACAGCACGTCCCTGGACCTAACAATCTTGATTGGAAGTGACTGGTTCCGAGCTCACCATTTTTGATATCAAAGGCATCCTGGTACACGTTGCATCGGGCTCAGACGGTATTCCAATAATGCTTGCCTTTGCTTTGTTGCCTATTCCTTATCGTCTGCTCTTTGGCAATATTCCAACCGTATGCAGCGTACGCATACATTTCTATCAGATGCAATTAATAATGCTAAAATGGGCTTTTGGAACGATAGGACATTCTAGAAGAGGCCAATCTAAGCAAAAGTTTGACACAAGGAGGTTTCTCAGTGCAGTAGCACTTTGGTCAAGCTCCTGGCCAACAGCGTGTAAGTTTTGCATGTGTAGAGGGACAAATCCTACCTTATCGAGGCTTACCGGGCGGCATCTACGTTGTTGAATTCTAATCAAGGATCACATCGAACAATTCACGGCGACCGCAGTCATCCGCAAGCCGGCCGACGGAATTCGGGACCCGAAAACGACCGTTTCCTCAGACTGCCCCAAGTTCGTCCTGTCGTTCGCAACGAGGAAAATGCCCTATTCGTCTTTTGTCGAGAGTACCACATCGGCGGTATGGATGTTTCAAATTGACGTTGAACTCTCATTTTGTTCTAGTAGAAGTGTTTTCTAATCAAATTGATCAACGATCCAATCATCATGGATCATGTGCCAAGAAAAGAAAGAAGCTCAAGGATCCAACGGGTTCATGGAGTGTCGCCATCCTCAAGAGGTCCGAGTGTTCAACTCAATTGACATCGGCTGGAAGTGCTAACCCAGGTCATTACCCTTTATGGAATGCAGCTCGTTACCCGCCGCGGGGAAACTTTCAACAGCACGTGGTTTCACCGCTTTCAGTTGCCTCAGGAGGAGGAATGTGACGATGCGCTTGCAGCCAAGCTAAGCCCGAAACTGACAGCTCCTTGGATCACGACAAGGGAGGTTTCTTGGCTGCCATCAAACCACAGAGGACTGCATTGATGCAGCTGTTTGGAGGAAAACCAAGGAGTTGCCTGATATAAAGTCTTACTGGCTCCATCAAACGGCCTATGATCTGCTTAGCGACGTAGTTTCGTTCGTCTCGTTTCTCAACGCATACTCGATATGTCACATGTAAACATGTCTCAGAGCGCTCATCTCGTGGAAGAGGCAGGATCTCTCCCTAAACGATATGGCTTCATTCTCCTCACCCTTGGCCTGTCGGGCTGGCTGCTGTACAGTCTCTACCAGAAGGCCCTGCCAAAGCCGATCAAAGGTATCCCGTACAACCCCGATTCCACGAAAAGAATAATGGGTGATCTTCCGGACCTTGCCAGTACCGTGGCACGTACAGGAGACCTGTCAGCATGGCTTGTTGGACGAGCAGCCCAGTTCGACTCGCCTGTCGTCCAGATCTTCCTTCGACCCCTTTCGCCACCGATCGTCCTATTGAGCGATTTCCGCGAAGCACAGGATATGTGCATGCGGCGTAAAGAGTTCGATCGCGGCAAGATCTTGCGTGACCTCTTCACAGGTCCATCTCCAAATCATCAAATCACAATGGTAACCGGAGACCAGTGGAAGGCGAACCGAAGGCTGCTGCAAGATCTCATGTCGCCACCCTTCCTGCAGAATGTTGCGGCGCCAGCTATTTACGCAAATGTCGTCAATCTGATCAACTTATGGACCGAGAAGACGAGAATCGCGGAGGGGCGTCCGTTTGATATTTACCAGGATATCTTTTACACAGCTTTGGACGCTGTGACGGCATTCTCGTTCGGCGAACAGTTTCCACACAATGCTACGAAGCCGGTGGCGGATCTCATCCGCGACCTGAGCGAAACACAGGTTGCAAGACTCCGGGACGGGCTATCTATGGATGATGCGGTCAAGTTCCCCACGGTCGAACCCGACGAGGTCATTCAATCCATTCTCGACGTCAGCATCAATATCGAGAGGTTGCATGGATCTCCTTGGCCCGTATTGAAGTGGAGAATCATCGAGAAGCTCCCACCCCTGAACAAGACGATGCGGGTCAAGAACGAGTTTATAGTCAGGGAGTTGAACAAAGCTACAACCAGACAAAATGCTAGTGGAGGGGATGACACATGGGTGCGATCTGCGGTGGACTTGATGGTTCAGAGAGAGAGGAAGATAGCCCAAGAAGAGAAGAAGACATCGAATCATTTGGCACCCAACATGAAAGACGAGGTAAATCTTCATTTACCCGCATCCAGTTTCGAAGATTAACACATCGTGCAGCTATTCGGCGTCCTCACCGGCGGCCATGATACCACCAGCACCACCATGCTATGGGCCCTGAAGTACCTCACTGACTGCCCCCAAATCCAAACCAAGCTTCGCAAGGCAATGCAGGATGGGTACTCCGCAGCGTACGCAGAAAATCGAAACCTTCGGATCGAAGAGATCATGCAAATCAACGTTCCTTACCTGTATGCCACGATGGAGGAAGTCCTCCGATGTGCTGGTACTGCGCCGCTAGTTGAAAGAGAGGCCATGGAGGATACAATCCTTCTTGGATATCACATTCCCAAGGGCACCATGGTCTTTTCCCTCGGCAAGGGAGCCAGCATCGTCACACCAGCTTTCGAGATCGACGACACGAAACGAAACGAGACATATCATCTTGCCGTCAAGAACCGCGGCAAGATACCAAACTGGAACCCTGCCGATGTTGAGGTGTTCAGCCCTGAACGCTGGCTTGTGCCAGTCACCACTCAAGGAGAGAAGGAGCAATTGAACGGAACTGGCCCTGAATATGAGTTCGATTCCTCTGCTGGACCACAGATTGCCTTCGGAATGGGCAGACGCAGCTGCTTTGGTCGAAGACTGGCATACGTAGAGTTGAGGATTTTACTCAGTCTGATTGTGTGGAAATTCGAGCTGCTGAAGTGCTCAGAGGAGCTGAGCGGGTATGAGGCGAAGGATGGTGTGACACACAAACCCTTGAAGAACTATGTTCGGTTACGAAAGGTGGAAAGGAAGTAGCATGTATCATGAGAATGGCTAGCAAGCGCTCTGTACTATATCTAAATTGATCTTGGTTTATTTAATGAGTCATGACATGAGGATATGGAGTGAATATCATAATAACATGTGTCAGTCATTACAAACCCCCAATCGCCTGCTGGCATCATACTGTTAGTGCGATCAGGTACGGCGAATCAGCTCGAAGACCACAGCCCATCATAAACGCCAACCGGAGAGACCAGCCCAAGCATAGGTGCCGTTTTATCACACAAGAAGCACATAACCTTAAAAGACCACGGTCCAAGAGAGCGGGCTGGGGCGGAGCGGAAGGGGTGGAACGGCGATGCTCGGCGGCGCCGTCGAGCTGGGCAGTGCGGCCGCCTTTATGAATGCGCTCGATCTAGACCACATGTCTTCCAAGTTCCAACGACAAGGAGAAAATCTCCGGCGGAATCGGGAGACTAGAAATAAGGCAGTTAGGTATGAAATCTCTTGGCACAATCGGATCTTGGAGGACATCGTTGGCAGGCGAAGCGGTACGGTTCCGGAGGACGATGGCGGCAGCACTAACCTTATTTGGCGGAATTGGGTTCATAGCTGAAGACTAGCTAACCTACAGTATTACCTGATGTTTTTGTATGAGTAGTTCTCTCACGTGTTCGATGCATGCACCTCCATTGATAGCCGCTCAACCAGCCGCACCGCATTGTGTCAGCGCAACATCGGTAGCTCTTATCCGTTATCGTGGAACTACGCGCCAGAAACCTTCCACGGCTCAATTTTCATTCATTCAATGAGCAGGCTTCAGTTATTTCCCGCTCTCAGTCGTTGCCCCGTATCCATTTTTGTTTGGACAATAATTCGGTGGTGTTATGAACCTTCAATCGTCCCGGGTGACTTCTCCATCCCGCAAGGGATGTGGGAGAAACATTCCTCAGCGAGCCGAATATCACGGACTTTCGATGCGGACATTCTCCGCACTCTAGTCGCGTGCCCAATCACCAGTTTCCCGGAACCCCCTTTGGAGGCGTCATTGTGTCTCTCGCTAAGAGGTAAGGGTCCGCTGGCTCTTCAAAGGGTCGCCTCATTCTTCATCGCGAAGGGCTGCGGGCGGGCCTATCGGCCGGAAACGGTCCAGCCACCAGGTTCCTGGGCTTTCTGGCTAGATCTCTTAACATTGCTGGATTTCCCGAAGGCAGTCCCGCATGATGGGAAGGCCTTTCCTCTGCCCAGAGCTGGAATGCCCTACGAGACAAATTTCTCTCTGCCGGAGGAAAGTGCCCTCCCACATACGGCCGAAAAGATAAAACTTTGTGCAACATAAACTCACGTCTCCCACCGGGACCATTCTCGATCTTTTTCCGCTCTTCCCCTTTCCGCTCTTTTGGACGACCCGCCGGTCCCACCCCGCTCCGAGAGTTCCGATGACGGTTCTCTGACCCTCGCTCCCCGGCCGTCACATTGATCAATGGCGCTTCCATTTTCCAGCTTGTTGGCGGGCCTACCAAGCTGTGCTGTGAGTATTCTCTCTTCTGATGCCTACCAGCTTCGTCAGCTTCGTGTCACTAATACGAGCTCTCCTTGACAGGCCCCTTGCGCAACTGAAGCTCTTAATTTCACCTCATCTTGTGGGGTGGCTGAGTTCAATTCAGAATGTCTTTGTAAAGACCATAGTTTCATAGAAACCTACCGGGTTTGCGTTCGCGCATTCTGTGACATCGGGCCTCTATTCGGTAAGACCGCGACGTTCTGCAACACTTGATGCATCTTTGATCATCGTTGTTCATGAATCACTCAGCGACTGCTCTCACTTTACTAATGTGTCGAGTATTCAGAGGCTAAGAATGCAACATGGACATGGTGCGACTATCCATATTCCGATCAGCAGGGATCGGTGGCAGGGAGGATAATCATTGTTGGGGTGACCGCCGTCTTTTTCTTCCTGCGACAGATCGCCAAAGCCATGAAGTTATCCCAATGGGGTCTAGATGACTGGACTTTGATACTCGGATATGTGAGTACTTGCCCACGAAGCGTTGCATGGCAGCTTGCTGAAATTCGGGTATAGCTATTCACTCTCTCTTTCGCGGTTTCGAAATTCTACGGTACTGAAAATCTCTGCCGTACCAGTTGAGACTGATGTCTGATACTGCTTCAGGTTATGAGCTTGGCATTGGCCGAGACGTGTGGTCACTATCCCACGACGAAATCAATAGATTCATGCGAGTAAGGCGCTACAGCCCCGAAATACCAACGATTCCCAACATGACTCCCAAGAGCAAAAGTTATTGTATACGTGACTAATTCCAATCAGGTATTCTTCGCTTTCGAAATAATCTACACCGTGAGCATTGGAACACTGAAGGCATCGATCTTATTCTTTTATCTACGGGTTTTCAATCTCGTCAGTCCTACGTTCACGATAATTCTCTGGTGCACTCAAGGTTTCAACATTCTTAACTGCATCGCCTTCACAATTGCGAATCTGAATCAGTGCAAGCCTTTCTGGTTTGCCTGGGAAGGCTGGGATGGGCGACATCCTGGGTACTGCGTGAACCTCACCGCCATGCTAGTATCGCACGGGGCAATTAACATCGCTCTGGATGTCTGGATGTTAGTCTTGCCAGTAACGCAGGTCCTCTGGTTGAATCTACGGAAAAGACAGAAGCTGGAGATCCTTTGTATGTTTGGATTGGGCATCATGTGAGCTTTTGCATTCAATCAACGCGAATCCCCATAGACTAACTCAGTCAGCATCACTATCGTCAGCATCATACGTCTACGAGTGTTGCTAAACTTCCGTAACTTTACAGATCCAACGTGTAAGTTGCGACATCCGACTCCACATGACCAACTCCGCTGACCTATGAAGATGATGCCTTTTGGCTACACATGTGGTCATATGTTGAGCTTTCTGTTGGTATAATTGTTGCTTGCTTGCCATCTGTACGCCAACTGTGGCGTGAACTTGTGCCAAAGATGAAGAAAAAGATCGGTATCAACCCGCCTTCACACACATCATCAATCCCTGGAGAATCTGCGAGGAGGCTGAAAGATATTCATTCCCTTAATGCGGACCAGCCGAGTCCCACAAGTGGAAGCGCTTTCATGTCGACAGCGTCGTCGCCATCGCGAACGCGAAGCGGAAATACATTTTGATATACAGATAACCTCTCATCAACTATTGCATGCACCTTTGACGAAATTACTGTTGACTCCACCAACTTTTGTCCGGAAGGTGACCAGCGTGTTTGTAACCCTGTGTACAAGTACAAGTGTATCGAGCCAGTATTCCCGAGAATAATCGTAGATGTTGGCATTCCGAGAATATTTATGCCCGACAGACTCTCAACAACCCAGCCAGCCAGCTTACTTCATGCATCGATCCATTTTAAACGCGAAATGAACTTCGGCTTAAATGGCCCCTCCACCTGCTCGAAGCAGATGTCTCCTGAGTGCGTCCTCTTTCCTCGTAGGAAATGCTCACGCAATCGGTCCGGACGATTTTCCCATCCGCAGCATGCCGGCTAGAGTCGCTGTTGTTTGTGAGGGTCGGGGCACCCGATGATGTGGAGGTTTGGTTGTTTGAACCGGTTGTTGGGGATAGTATGTTCTCTTGACTGTCGTCGCTCTCGATTATGGTAAGGCCGAGGTCGTCCTTGGGCTTGGACTTGGGCTTGCGTTGGCCGAGCTCGATGCCGCCGCCGCGCGATTTTGATTTGCTCTGGGAGCCGTAGTGCTCGTAATACTGCGGTGTCTGCTTGGATCCCTTCCCGGAACTGAAGGGGTTGCGTCGCAGGATGAGCTCGAGGAGTGGTTGCATAACAGGTATGGAGCTCGCAATGATGATGGTGCTGCCCTCGACACTGCCAAATTCCGCGATTAGAATGCTGTTTTCAGAGAACGCTGGCAGCACGTAGCCATTTGGCTCAATGTGTCTGGGGTGGGTTCGTCTTACACCGTCCAAATAACCAGATCAGAGGTATCATCTGGGAAGCAAAAGAAAGTCAGCTTTGCGAGTCTCCATCCATCGACGGAAAAGCGCAGGTAGAGGCCCTACAAGAGAAGTCATCGCTTGCGAGAGACGGGATACGAGTTGTTTTGTAAACAGCAACAACACCAGAAGTATGATTCGGCCATTAGTCACAGTAGTCACGAACAATGATGCGTGCGAGATGAATAATACATACACTGAACCAATACCCAGGGCGCAGGACAGAGCGACTTTCTTCTTGGTCGACATTTGGAGACCGAAGAGCACTATTGCCGGATACACAGCCAGGTAAACATCAACAAACGCTGAGAATGCTGTTGAGGAAAATTGTGTTAGAAGCTGAGAGCTGTGGGGCACAGAGGGTCGTCATACCGCCCGCGTAGATGCAATACGCGACTAAAATTTGTTTGCTGAAGCATTGGCCCGTGACAGAAAAGTCCCAAAGTGACCTGGCTGGCGTGCAGCGCCCAAGGAGAAGCCCTGCTGTCACGAAGAGCGTCAACTGGCACCAGATTCCCATCCACCACAAGAACCACTTATGGTACCTCCCTGGATTCATGAGCCGCGTCAGAAGAGAGATCACGGCTAGTTTGGGAAGGCCGAAAGACATGATGCCAGGGCAGAAGGCAGCCGTTGTCCATAAGATGGCGCCTTGCTTCTGCTCGGTCGATAGAAGCTTCATGTGTTTCCCATTGCCGTAGGATACCGCGATCGTGGACAGAGCCGTCGAGATGTAACCACAAAACTGAAGGACGGCACAGGTTGATTAGTACGCAAAAGGGGATCTCTGTATAACAAAGTTTGCGGTAAAGGAAACACTCACCAGCCCTAAGATGATGAACCAGTCATCGCTGTGGAATTTCCTCATAATCTTCCCCCTCACATAAACTCGGCCAAGAACGAAACAGGTGCTGATGGCCGTGACAATCCAGCAAACGACGATGATGGTGAGCCCTTTGTCCTGGGCCTTCCACTCATCGGAATCCTCCGGTGGACTCGACATGTTGGAGTTGGAGAAAAGAATTCCTCAGCGACCATGCGGGCATGCGGAAGGATCTCGGAGACCGGAGACAGCTTCGGACGCATGCAGGAGCTCGAAGAATATATGCAAGCCGACCAGACTGCTCGCGGACCATGTTCTCGGTACGTATGAAAAATTGCCGATTGCCGATCATGCTCATTTTTTCAATATCCCAAGCTATTTTTCATAACTCCAGGGTTCTTTTGCCCGACTTATTAGACTCGAAACAAACTCCTTCAAATTTCTCTCCGAGAAGACAATACGTGTAAAATCTGTGTGTCTGCTTTCGGTCGGCGATAGCATTGCCACATCCAGTATAATCCCACATCCCGCCCCTGATCCTCCTGATACTTGATCACGATTCGTGAAGATCAGTCAACGAGCAGACCAAAAGACGAAGCACTAGGAGGCTGTGGGCCCTCTGCAATGTGTTGCATACGATTGAACGTGGCGGAAATACGGGCTGCAGCAGAATCCCGAGTTGAAATTCTCCAACCACTTGTTGGAACAGGCGTCAACTTTCAGGCATAGCAAGCCAAGACCATCGGTCTGATCATTTTGGGCAAAAGAATCGTCTTTGTGTTGTTGGAAGTACCCGCAGGTCCCATTTATATTGCAAGGAATCTCCATATGTAACATGTTGGAAGCAGTCTTCATCTGTTGGAGTCTGGACGTGTTCTTCATCGTGTTGGAACATGCCTGGCAACCGCATTGTCCCATTGGGGAAGTTAGCCCGGCCCATGGACAGGCCACATGGGCTGTTCGTGGGCACAGAAATGTCTTCATTGTCTAGGTGCCCGGCTGGAACCCCGACAGCCGAGCCTTCACCAACAGCATGTTGTGTGTCTGGCTGCAGATATATGGAGCTGTGTCGTCAGGCCCAATATTCTTTTGTTCCAAAAACATGGGCTGCGAGCGTTGAGCAGAATGTGGCCAAGCCTCGGACGGTAGGACGGCGGCCGATCAGTGTTGACCGAGAGTAATTATTTCCGTTTGGGGATTACTGTTGGGCTCTCGCGCTGTTGGTTGGTAGCCAAAACTGTGACTATCAACCAACACTGCATCTGCCCCCTGCTCGGGCCTGGTCCGGAAGATGGTTACTGGTGGGGCCGGTGGTCCGGGGCCCCGGTCTTCACAAGCCGGGGCAGCGTGCAGGCCACACAGCCTTCTACTTTAACCGCGGAAGGTCCCGTTGACATTGTCAGAACTGTATTTGGACGGGGATTCGGGATCCCGGCCCGGACGAAGTGGGATGGAGCACTGGACCTCGAGATCTGCTTTGCCAGCAACTGTGCTGCATCAGGAGAGACGCCAGTTCCGCCGCTCTCCAACTCCCCTTCACCTTCTGAGGACCTCGATTCCCACCACAAAAAGGGGTCATAGAAACAACTTACGGAACGTGGGGGCTGTAGCAAATGCAGATGCCCATTGTGTTTCCCGACTTCCGAAGAGGTTCCTTCCGACTGATTTCGCGGCGCGATATAACTACTCGCCTTGGAAGCGCCATGTCAGTCTGGCCCCAGCTTCTTCACTTCTCCTCAGCTTACTTCATTCATTGTCGTTATTTATATTCATGATGCCAGCTGTAAACGGCACCAACGGTACGAACGGTACAAATGGCACCAATGGCACCAAAGACGCCCCAGTCGTCGACCCCTCAATTGCCACCAGCCCCAATGACCTGGCAGCAGTTCCTGGACTGCTGAGGGAGCTTAATGCTGGGATTGGCTCTTTGTCCACTGGTGGCCAAGAAGCCCGTCACGAGCTCCTGCTGAAGGCTCGGTCCATTGTCCAAGCTCTCGAGGCTCCGAGAGAGACCATGATCAAGCACTGCTGGGCACAGGTAGGCTTCTGCCTCGGCACCTGTTACTATTCCATGTAAACTAACTAAGTTCTCCGCAAGACCGGTGCCATTGCCGGTATCAACTTTGGTGTTGACTCAGGCCTGTGGAAGCTCATGGCCAAGAATGGCGATAGACCCCAAAAGGTAACCGAGTTGGCCGAAGCCCTTGGTGTTGACCCAGCTCTCCTGAGTAAGTCTCCCTATCAATCTACCTCTCACACTTGTTCGACTAACAGCCCATTTTAGGTCGTCTCATGCGCCATCTTGGTGCTATGGGATACATCAAGGAGACCGGCCTCGACGAGTACCAGCCCACCAACTTCTCAAAGTCGCTCAGCCTTCCCATGATTGGAGATGGATACATTGCCATGTGAGTCTTAAATTTGCCTTCCATTTCGGAAGTCACGTATTATCTCTATGTAACGGTTCACTAACATCATGACGCCTCCAGGACTTCCTGCACCGGCGCTGGCCCATTACGATTCCACGAGTACTCTCGCAAGAGAGGCTTCAAGAACCCGACCGATGCAAAGGATACATCTATGATGTACGCTTACAACACCGATAAGGATATGTTTTCATGGCAACAAGACTTGGGCTGTAAGTTCTAAAGTCACAAATAAGCTCGCATGGATACCTGTACTGACAGAAGTAACCGCAGACGGCACTCACTTCAACCACCACATGTCCGGCTACCGTCAGGGCCGTAACCCTTGGATGGCTCCGGGAGTCTTCCCCGTCAAGGAAAGGCTCATCGAAGGCGCCGACAAGAATGCCGACGCCCCCTTCTTGGTGGATATCGGTGGCAGCATCGGTCACGACCTGGTCGAATTCCACCGCTACCACCCTGACGCACCGGGCAAGCTCATTCTGCAGGATCTGCCTGTGGTCATCGGACAGATCCAGGAGCTGACGCCAGCCATCACGCCCATGGGCCACGACTTCTTAACAGAACAGCCCGTCAAGGGTGCCCGTGCCTACTACATGCACTCATGCCTGCACGACTGGCCTGATGATGTCTGCGAGAAGATTCTTGCGCAGATCAAGGCCGCCATGAAGCCCGGCTACAGCAAGTTGCTCATCAACGAGAACGTCATTCCGTCAACTGGTGCCTGGTGGGAGACATCGGCGCTTGATATGGTCATGCTAACACTCTTCTGCTCTAAGGAGCGCACCGAGGGTGACTGGTACAACCTTCTGGAGAAGATTGCTGGGTTGAAGATTGTGAAGATCTGGGGTGGAGGAAAGGGCGTTGAGAGCTTGATTGAGGTTGAGTTTCCATAGCGCTCTTGTTTGTACCAATCTTGGTTAGAGACATGGTCATTGACTCATGATTTCATAGTAGAACGGACCTCATATTGGCCATGCTAGCTTTGGTTGATTTCCTGTGACTTTACAGAATAAGTGTGCAGAATTCAAAACATCCACTGCTCGGAGGGGACTTTTGTTCTCGATTGCTGCAATCTTGAGCGAATAAACGTCGGGATTCGTTCTGCATGTTTTTAATGAGGGACATGGCCAATTAAAAGTAGGCAGGAGTATGGAAACCAATCAGAATATTCAAGAGATTTCCAACCAACAAGTAAGCTGAGCGAAATCGCTCTTCGCTCTGCCACACCTCCTCAATCACTCAACTTTCCATTTTGGCAAAGTCGGCCTGCGGTCTGCGGAAGCCGTACTTGCAATAAACATTGGCCATTGGCTGCTGGCTTTAGCCGCATTTCACTGCAATGCATCCCGTTTACCAAGATCTTCCAGATGGTCATATTCGTCTCCTCACTATTCATCCCGGAGGCGAAGCAACGGCACTCTCTGGTATAATCACACCCTCCTCCTACATACCAATCCACCAGCACCCACTGTTAGTGCTGCGCTGGGTCCGCCATATCAACACTAACACTGCTAAACCCATCCCACACAACTAGAACCCTCGCCCGCGATGGCCTCGCAGCCAGCCGCGGGC